CTCAAACTTAGAAGCTTCTGTAAGGCAAAGTACACAAGACCAAACAGCAGCCCACAGACTAGGAAAATATCTTCACCTATCCTACATCTGACAAAGGGCTGATCTCCAAAATATACAAAGAACTCAAGAAACTAGTCAACAAAACACCAAATAACCCTATTAAAAAATGGGGGTACAGAACTGAATAGAGAAACTCTCAATAGAGGAAATAAAAAGGCTGAAAGACACTTAAGAAAGTGCTCAACATCCTTAGCTATCAGGGAAATGCAAATCAAAACAACTTTGAGATACATTCTTACTCCTGCCAGAATGGCTAAAATTAGAAACACCAATGACAGCTTATGCTGGAGAGGATTTTGGAGAAAGTGGAACACTCCTCCACCACTGGTGGGAGTGCAAACTTGTACAGCCATTTTGGAGATCAGTATGGCAGTTCCTCAGGAAAATGGGAATCAGTCTACCACAGGACCTGGAAGTCCCCGTCTTAGGCATATACCCAAATGATCCCCATCCATGCAACAAAGACCTATGCTCAACTATGCTCATAGCAGCATTGTTTGTAATAGCAAGAACCTGGAAGCAACCTAGATGCCCCTCAACTGAAAAATGGATAAAGAAGTTGTGGCACATCTTACACAATGGAATACTACTCTGCGGGGGCAGGGGGATGACAAAAGAATGGGATCTTGAAATTCACAGGCAAGTGGATGGAACTTGAAGAAACCATCCTGAATGAGCTAAGCCAGTCACAAAAAGAGGAACATGGTATGTACTCGCTCATATATAGATTTTAGACACAGAGCAAAGGATCACCAGCCTATAATTCACACCGCCAGAGGACCTAGGATACAAGGTGGATTCTAAGAGATTCATACAAGATCCCTCACAGAAGGGGGAAGGGACAACATCTCCAGAGCACATGGGGAGTGGGGGGGCAGTGAGTGAAGAGAGAACTAGAAGAAAGAGAAGGGGGGGGGAGAGGAAAGCACATGGGACTAGGAAGCTTGAGTAAGGGGAGGAAAAAAAAAGAGGAGAGAGAGAGACAGAGAGAGAACATAAAAGAGGGAGCCATTATAGGTCTGAAGAGAAAACTGAACCTAGAGAAATGTCCAGAGACCTACAAGACTGACCCCAAATAACAATTTGAGCAACAGTGAAAAGGCTACCATAAATGCCCTTTCCTGATAATGAGATCAACGGCTAACTTATCCACCATCATGGAGCCCTCATCTGGAAACAGAAGCAGACACCCACAGCTAAACACTGAACCGAACTGGAATCCAGATGCAGGGAAGGAGAACAAGACTAGGCTGCAGAAACACATAGAGACAGCTGACCTGAACAAGAAGGATCTAATGGGACTCTAGACTGACAGCTGGGAATCCAGCATGGGACTGACGCAGACCCCCTGAACATGGGTCTCAGCTAGAAGGCCTGAGCAGTCTAAGGGACCTCTGACAGTGGAACCAGGATGTATCCCTGGTGCACAAAAGGACTTCAGGGGCACATCCCCTATGGAGGGATCCTGCCTTAACCTAGAGACAGGAGAGAAGTCCTAGTCGCTACTCCAAATGACTTGACAGATGTAGATGACCCCTCCTGGAGGGCATCACCCCACATGTGGAGTGGGGGGGTAATGAGAGGGGAGGGTGGTGGGGGGGCATGAGAAGGTGGGAGAGAGGGAAAAAGTAAGGGAGGGAAGGAGGGAGGAAGGAAGGGTGAGGGAACTGGGATTAATAAGTAATATAAATATAAAAATAATAAAAAAAAGAAGAGCAACAGTGAAAATAAGCATAGCTTTAAAAAAAAGTAATCCTAGCAGTTGGGATCACAAGTTTTTAAATCCAAGCACTAGGTAGGTGGAGACAGGAGTGATAGGCTGGGTGGAGAGAGGATTGTAAAGTGGGGGTGGGATGGGGGGGCAGGCAAGAGCTCCAGCAGTCAGTTTGAAGCAGGCTGAGGAGCAGTCTGAGGACAGGATGGCCCCTCTGGTCTAAGCATCAGTAGAGGTAAGAACTTTCTAATAGCTGGCCACTCTGCTTCTCTGACTTCTCAGCTTTCATCCCCTAGTATCTGTCCAAAACTTTTTATTATTAAGAATTAGAATCTGTGCTACATTCATTGCTGCTCTACTCACAATATCTACAAAACGGAAACAACCTAAATGTTCAACTGACAAGAGGAGAGTGAAATTGTGGTACATATATCCTATGGGATATTACTCAGCTCTAAAGAGACTGAAATCGTGAACTTTGCAGGTAAACAGATGGACTGAGTGAGGTAACTCAGACCCAGGAAGAGAGACAATGTCTATTTTTTCTAATAGGAAATTTCCCACCTCCAAATCTTCATATGTCAGTACACAACATGAAGTGAGTGCAGTAATCAGAAACGGGGAAGGAGATCACTGTGGGACATAGGGGAGTGATAGAGAAAGGAGTAATAGGAAACAAATGATCAGAAGGCGAAACAGAGAAAACAGGGTTGAGGATTTAATTATGAAGAAAGCACAAATACAAACACGGAACAAGGAGGGTAAAATAACAGTAAAGATGTCTGGAAAACAAATAAGGAATCCATCTATTCCTTGACCATTATCCATCCATGAAAAAATGCCTAAAATACACATAAGTCTCTTTTAGAATACACATTTAGAGTGTACATGAAAATTTTCCAACTGCGCTGATGATGCTTCTCACCAGAATCAAAGAATTTCTAACAAAATAACCAACACCAGGTGTGAGAAGCCTGTTTTGAAGTTGTTGGTCAGAGTTGTCAAAGGAATTCCAAACATTACAGGTTACTGCTGTTGCCCATGGTTGCCTCCCCATAGGCAGAAGTTGAGTCCCTAGTGTTGAAGAAGCCACACACCTCAGACACGAATCCTAGAGGACTTGAGTGACCTCAAATCTTTCTGCCTGGTGCCTAGCTTTCATGGTACAAGAAGGCAACACACAACCTTCCAAAGGAGGGAGCCAAACAAAACTCCCACCCAGCTATGACACCTGTGAACCACAACAGTGATCTGTACTACATGACAGCCCTAGGGGTACAAGAGTGGCACACATACCTTGGTGGTAACTGTAGTGAGTTTTCACCTTGTCTGCACCTGTGGCATAGACCACGCCCATCGGGGGGTGGAGACAGGGCCAGAGGTTACCTGGGTGAACTAAGTCTGACAGGAGTGAGGCATCCTTCGGACCAGGAACCTGCTGGTGTTCATCTGTCTATGTTGTAAGTTATTTCTCCCTGAACAAACATCTATTCCGCCTATTAGTTTCTCCTGATCCTTATTAAACATCAATAGGTAACTAACAGGTTCTAATTGGATTAAGACTCTTTCAACAAGAGGGAGAACATGCCTGGTAGTGGAAATCTAGCCAGTTTCTCCAGGGCTAGCAAAGGCATGGATCTTGGAGGAGAACCTACAACCACTACTTTCCTAAGTCAGCATAAGCACTTATTGTATTCTAAATTTTTCTCCTAATTCCCAAGAGACGATAGGAGCCAGTATAAATGGAGTGTGGCAGCTTGTAAATATACTTCCTGATTCTGATCAAAACTCTGCTGGCATTATTTTGGAATGAAGACAAAAACACTAAAAGGTAGAGAATGTGCTAGAATACCAAAGGACCCAAATTTTGAAAACAATAAACAAACCTAAAGGTATTAATATCTACTCATTTTTATAACATATTAAAATCAAATAATTGAAAATCATTCAACAATGGTATGAAAACTTGGTCAGTGATGTGAATGGTAAGGACAGCATCACTCACAGGCATAGTCAAATAAATTTTACTTGACTCCATTATCAATTCTGAAGAAAGTCTTCTCATGCCCACATTAGGATAACCCTGAGATTTTTCTCAATGGGAGCGTAAACTATTATTTCTACTGCAACGAAATGTGGCAAAACTGACTTCATGTCCCACATTCACTTGATCCCCTTTCCACTCCTTCACCAATGCCTCCACCACACCTGCTTCCTTAGCCACTGTCTCCTCTCTCCTTCCAGGCCCCTTTGTTCTGCTGCACAGGTGAGCAGGTCTGGGTGATCAGTGAACCTTGCACATGAGAAAGAGATTGTTCAGGAAGCCCCTGGATGTCTAACACAGTACTGTGCTCAGTAGATGAAGAGAACACTAAATTCAGGATTATACAAAAGATTCCCCAACTCTCCTGCACTGTCAGAGCACTGAGAACAATTAGCATTTTTAGTCATCATAACCTGAATCCTACTTCGAATAACAACTCATCGAAAACCAAGGAGCAGAAATGATATTGAATGAATGGGAGGAGAATTATACACGAGTGAGGTTCTGAATTGACCATGAACCAATAATAATAGTCTTAAACCTCCCAAAGGGACACCCACAAAGAAGAGAACATTTCATGAAATTTTCCTTTTTCCTTTGAGGATTTCACTTTATTATGTGAGATGTGACACTCAATCACACAAAGCTCACACACCTGCAGATTTTGTCAAGACAGAATGAGGAGGAGCAAGGGATACGACACAGAAAACATACTTCTGCAATTCTGCAACATCCAGTCCCAGTACAAAGCCCTCAGGGGGGGGAGGGTCCAGGCACTGCCCCCTCCACCTGGGGAGAAGCCCAGTCACACCACTGGCAATCAACAGACCACAGAATCCTCCTACTTGGGAGAAAACAGGTGGGTGGAACTCTGTGTTTTACAGTCCAGCCTGGTCTACACGGTGAGGTCTGCTCCAGACAGAGCAACACTTCGAGTTCAGGTCTCAAACACCGAAAACACCAGAAACAACAACAACAACAACAAAAAACAGTTTGCCCACGTGTCCATGGACAGAGGGCTTTTCTTGGGCCAAGGAAACAAAAGACTACTGTAGACATTTTTTTTTTTCTGACATAGATTAGTTATAGTAATTATTCAAAAGATTCCTTCCAATATCATTCTATACTACAATGTATTTAAATTTGTCTTTTCCCCTCAAACAAGGTTTTTCTGTGTAGTACTGACTATCCTTGAAGTCTGTAAGTACACGCTACTAGCCTTCAACTGACAGCGGTCCATAAGGCCTGGCAAAGACACTTTGCGGAATACTGTGTTTCCAACAGTGTGCACATTCATGTCCGAGATGGCAAAATCAACGGTGGATAAAAGCACACTTTAAAAAGTTAATGTTTACAAGCATACTGTGGAACTCGCAATAAAAAAAAAAAAAAAAGGATTTTCTTATTCAATGAAATATTCAGACGTTCCTTTCATGACTATAATCTAAAATCTCTCTGCGAATCCAAGTCTTCAGGTAAATGTGCCACTCTCTTGAATATGGAAGTGTATAACAAGGGAATTAGTATGGATGATCGTACAGTTTCAAGAGCTTTGTCCTTTTTACCACTGTCAAGAGAATTTTGCTTGCAAAAATCAACAGATAAATTCAAATATTCTATTAGATTATTTTTACAAGAATATTTTGGCAAACAATATCAACAGAGAAAATAGGCTTATTCTATATGATTTAAAATACGCCAAGGGAAAGACACTCACAGCAGAACTTAAGAGCTGGCTTCCTTAGTGACAGCAGAGAAACTGCTCGCACCCCCGGTCCCCTCCCTCCTGGGTCCCAGCCCCGCAGCTCCTCTCACCTGGGAGGTTCCAGGGCCGCCGGGCTGCGGTTCCCGCCACTGCGCTGCTGACTGTGACTTTTCCAGGCCGCAAGCGTGGAGACTGCGGCTCCGGAGTTTTCAGGTCCCCGCGGCACCCGCCGTGTCCTCCGCACCCAGATCTGCACCGTGCGACTCCTCCAAGGTGCAGGACTCCGAACAATGACAGAGAAAGGGCACTCATTACAGCTGACCAAAGCTCCTTCCCATCTCCCCCCCCCCGCCCATTTTCTGTCCCACCTTCCGCTACGTCACTTCTCTAAACCCGTCCATTACCCAATCTTCCCCTACTGACAGCCAATTGGTCACATCCTTCCATCCGCTATTTCCGCTCTAATGTCCCAGCCAAAGGGAATGGTCCTTCCCGCTGCCTTCCCCACAGCTGCAGCTGTCAGGCTGCCCTGGACCCGCTCTGCGCAGACTCCCCACACACTTGCTGCCAGCCTAGACCAGAACTGCATCCAGGAGGACGCTGCACCCCGGTATCTGACTCCACAGTGAGCTCTGAAACCTCCAGACAAAAGACAGCATAACGTCGATTTGACTGCCAGCCTCCCAGGCTACATTCTTACAGCAAACGATATCAGGGTAAACTCGATGCCAGCGCCCCATCGCTAACACAGACATGACAAGCCAGAACCAGACATTGCAATTGTGCCTTGGAGAGAGACATTTCAGGAATTTGGATTTTGAAAAGAAATAGTTGTCTCAAGAAGTCAGTAGTCAGCCCATTGCTAACAGACCAGGACTGGTTTATATTTTGCTAACCCAAACATGTTGTTTTGTGACTAATGCTAAAAGTGCTTTTATATTAAATATAGGGGAAAAAATAGTGTAGTGGTGAGTGAAGAGCCTCTTGGCTGCACTAGATGCAGAAAATAAGTAAGATATGTAGCCCCAGCCCTAAAAACTTTGAACACCGAGGAGAATAAGGAAGTAAGGGAAAGAGGAGGGAGGGCTAAGACACGCCATTCTCCAGACTCCATACAGCTGTTGTAATCAGTAATCAACAGCAATTGTACTTACCTGCACTGACCTCACACTAGACCACAGTCAGTCTAGGAAAGGGAAAGGCTCACAGGACCCCACCCTTAACCTCTCAAATGTTGTCTATGGATGGATTGTAGGAGAAGAATCACTGACTTTAGCCGCAGTCCTCTGCTCAGCCCAGCAGCCTCCAAGACATAGCTCCAAATCCAGTCTCAGAGATGACTCAGGTTAATCTCTGGATCCCAAGGAAAATAAATGGAGATGAACACAACAGAGATACTTGTTGGGATTGTGGACCAGGATAGTAGAGAGGTAGAAGATGAGAATGGGTGGTGTTTGCAACACACACAGAGACACACATACTTTTATACACACATTCTCTCTGTGTGAGAGATAAATCCATTAGAGAACTAATAATATAATTTTTTAAATGAGTACAGCAGTCTGTAATTCTCTTTGGGTAAAGAAAGCATTGGTTTGGAAAAGATGCTGGATATTCTCAGAATGGGTTATCCTATCCACTTAATTACTGAAATTCTCTTGAGCTGAAATGACATTTTGATGAATATTTGTACGGGGGCACATGTATCTTCATATCCTTTGTCCACTTGGAGAGATCTACCAACATACTTTTCCAGATACCTTTCTCACCAGTTTTCCAGTCATGCTGTTTCCAGGCTCTGACCATCCAACCAATCCATTGACTACAGCCCATGAGTCAGTGAACAACCACACATTTGGCTATTTTTCCTTCCAAACAATCTGAATAATGATGTGTAGTGATGGGAGATGTCATTCTGTAAATATGTTTCTTTTATTAGTTAATGAATAAAGCACTGTTGGCCAATAGGAAAGCAAGATAGATGGGACTAGGAGACAAGGGGGATTCGAGGAAGTAGAGACTGGAGAGAACAGAGGTCCAGGCCCTCTCTCCGGTAAGATGATACCACGAGAAATACTTAGATTAATAGAAATGGGTTAATATATAAGACAGAGCTAGCCAATAAGAAAATAGTAACTAGCCTACAGCTTTATATCAAATACAGCATCTCTGTGTGTTATTTGGAGCCGGCGTGGTGGTGGGACCAGATCAGCAGGGGAAAACCACTCATAACAGTGTAGTTTCCTATTTCTACCCACTGTGTATATTTCCCATCACCTTTGTGTTTCATAATTGTTCCAGGAAGAGATATGATGCTGCAGTTATCTACTTCTGGGTGGTGCCTTATAATGTGCAGAGCCATTAGTAAACCAGGCTCTTCTTTGGTCAACTATTAATAGGGTAAACCCCATGAGACTATAGATCATGTTTGGCAGCAAAATGCACTATAACATGCTTAGAAACCAAAGGCATTTGGGTTACTTCTTCATATAACTTTCAGGACCTTCAAATGCCTGATCATGTATAAATCACTCCCATTTGATAATATATTGCTGCTGTTCATGTCCTACTTTATGTCATTGTGGGTCAGATAACACCCAGTTCATGATGGGTAGTTCAGGTTATGTGGTAACTTGGTGGCCAATTGTCAACCATTTACTGTCATTAAGGCCCAATGTCAGGCTAAAGCTGACTTTGGGAGAATAGTTGTCTGCAGATAGAGTCTTGCTACAAAATTCCAGTGGTCTTGAAAGACCCTCAGAGCTCAGAGCGTGGACCTTCATGCTCTGACTCAGGAAAGGCAATACCCCAAATCACTCATGAGAAGCGGTCTTGATTCAAAATGCAAAAGGACTTGTTTATTCCAAGTTCCCTGGGGTTCACAGTCATGCACCACACAAGGGTAGAGGACTGAGGACCTCGAGGGCAGAATTGTGACAGTTTTTATAGGGTTTACAACAAAGGCCCCACATAGGTCACTGAGGCCAGGGTTTCAGAAGCAGCCAGATAAGCAATTAGTCAGTTAATTTTCTGATATCTTACTAGGCTTGGATTACGTACTCAAGGACCTGTCTGTCGTAAGCAGCAAGGAATGTGACCTTGCCTATTTACTGGCAGAGGGCAGAGTCTGGAATTTGAGGTTTTTAGGGTTTTTTAGATAGTATTTTTAAACTTCTAGTTTCCTGGGGCCACTGGAGAGTTAGGCTATATTTTCCATCCTTACAGTCTCTTGTTTGATCTACCTATAGGGGCCTGCCAAAGGCTCCAACCAGCATCCCTATCTGCCCACCTATGCCTCAAGTATCATGGGATCTGCAGGATAATATGGTCCAAGGGGTACAGCAGCCTGCACAGCAGCCTAGAGAGAGAAAGAACTCTCTCCTGTTCCAGGCACTACACAAACCTAGCAGCATTCTGAGTCACATGGTATTTGAGGGGAAAGTAACACACCAAATTGAGGAATATCTTGTTTCCAGAATCCAAATAGGTACACTAAACCTTCTGCTTCTTTCTTGGTGCTAACTCAAAAGAAAACTCCCTTACATAAGGGATAAGATGACAATCCACTAGTAACCCAGGATTGGGTTACCTATAAGAAGAGCAGAAAATGAAAGGTGTAAGCTACACTCAAAGGCTTTACTTCTAATAATTCACAATGGGGAGTAATTGCATAAATGTGACAAAGTCATTCAACTCTTATTAGTCATACTAGAGAGAAACTATATAAACATAAAGGTTGTAGAAAAAGCCTTCAGAACAAACCCAGCTTCTAGTTCTTGTGTTGTGAGCAAAGCTCCAAGACATCCTTCCTGTTAATACCTGGAAACTGTGTTTAGCAACAAACCACTTCCAAGAGACAGACAAAGCCATAAAAACTATAGAATGCTCCCAGCACCAACCAATGAGAACAGACTACCTGAAAGTAACGGAAAAGTCAAAGAAACTACCAAATGTTCCCATCTGTACCCAACCAATCAAAAATGCTAGCAAACCAGTTGCCCCGACTCTGAGAAATTCCCCTAATTGTTCCCCAAATGTCAACCAATCAGGATCCAAGCTATGCCCCTCACTACCGACTGATGCAATCCTGTGATTGTCTTAAGCAGTAAACAGGAACTCCACTCCCTCTGGAAGCTACTGTGTCATCTTGCTAGATGGAGTCCCTGTCATGGTCGGATGAAACAGTAAACCTTGCTTTTGCAGCTTGGTGAGTCTATTTACCTGTGGGTCTTTGGGGATCCTCACAATTTACGTTTAACAGTATGCACATGATCTTCCTGGGGAATATTAGAAGCAGTACTCCTGGGATAAGTCATAAATGATTCATAACAACTTTCCATAAATCCAGTATCCTCAAGGTGTATGTATAAATATGAACTACACCAAGCATGCAAGATATGGAGATCAAAGTCTAAAGTCAGGTCAAGGGCACCATGTGGCTCAGCTTTGCTTGTTCTCGGTCAAGATGCTGGGCTGGATTAATTAATGTCTTTCACCATTCCTATCAGAAATGTGTGTGCTAGCATGGACATCTTCTCTCTTCACACTTTTTCATACCTTCTATTTTTAAGTTTAATTCTACTATGAAGATCTTGAAAGTGAGCAAACAATGAGATATTAATGGGGCAGTTTTTGTGCTGAGTTTTGGGTGGAATTTGCTTTTGTCAGCAATTTGAGCACCAAGCAAAGGATTTACCACATTGAATGTGTTTGGTGGGTATCATTTCTAATGCTCAATGACACATAGGTTTTAAATATGGTAAAAATTTATGTGTTTTTTTAGAAATATGAGTTACATGATATATAGCCCAATTATAGGTATTTGCCACATTTTTATGTTACTGTATTTTGTCAATATCATTATGATGATGATGATGATTGATGGGAAGTCCTGACAGCCTTAGAAGTGACTATGTAGATTAGGTTGGCCTAAGACTCACAGATATTTACTTGCCTCTGCCTACCGAGTGCTGAGATTGAAGGTGTATATCACCTTGCATGAAATTATTCTCAATTTTTGGATGTGGAATTAGATACATAGCTCATAGCTGTTTTTAAGTACACTTCAGGGAATATTATGCCCTCTTCTGGCCTCCATAGTCATCAACAAACAGTGCACAGAATTTCTTGTAGACCAGATACCCACACACATTAAAATGAATTCAACATTACTTTTGCAAAATTTTATTTCAATATGAACTCTGTTATTTTTTTTTAAGTTTAAAACATCAGTAAAGGCTTTCAGAAGTTCCTTATCTTAATGATTCCATTATGCATACCTGGGATTTGTAAGTCAAGAATACTGTATAAATATTATGTATGTCACATGATTTACAATGGTCTTTTCTGTCCAGGATAAACTCTCTGATATCTTCTAAGATTTGAAAGGTGGATGTAAGATATGCTACAGTCTTAACATTTGTAAAGTTTCTCTCTGATATGCTTTTAGATATTAGCAGCTACAAAACATCTTCTTACATTCCTTACATCTCTCCAGTGTGAACTCTTTGATGTAGGTCAAGGTTTTGTCCATTCCAGACATTTGTATGTACCTTCAGATGTGTACTAGATTTTTCTTGGAAGTAAAAGATTTTCTCATTTTGGACATGTGTAAGGTTACTCTTCAGTATGGATTTTCTGATGTCTTCTAAGATTTAAACTCTAGATAAAGGACATGATAAATTTTCCACACTTGTAAGGTTTCTAACCAGTATGAATTTTCTGATGTTTTTTAAGATATGTGAGTGTAGCAAAAGATCTGCTACATTCTCCACATTTGTAAGGTTTCTTTCCAGTATGAATTTTCTGATGCTCTCTAAGATATGTGCATGTGGTAAATGATTTGTCACATTCCTGGCATTTGTAAGGCTTCTCTCCTGTATGAATTCTCTGATGCTGTGTAAGAGTTGACTTTGCAGTGAAGGATTTCTCACAGTCCTTACATTTGTAAGGCTTTTCTCCTGTATGAATTCTTTGATGCTCTCTAAGAGTTGGCCTCACAGCAAAGGATTTCTCACAGTCCTTACATTTGTAAGGCTTTTCTCCTGTATGAATTCTCTGATGCTGAGTAAGTTTTGACTTCATAACAAAGGATTTGTCACAGTCCTTACATGTGTAAGGCTTCTTTCCTGTGTGAATTCTCTGGTGCACTGTAAGAGTTGTTTTCATAGTAAAGGATTTGTCACAGTCTTTACATTTGTGAGGCTTCTCTCCTGTATGAATTCTCTGGTGCAGTATAAGATATGACCTCACATTAAACGATTTGTTACAGTCCTTACATGTGTAAGGCTTCTCTCCTGTATGAATTCTTTGATGCTGCATAAGCTTCGATTTCATAATAAAGGATTTGTCACAGTCCTTACATGTGTAAGGCTTCTCTCCTGTATGTATTTTCTGATGCACTGTAAGACATGGCCTTGTACTGAAGGATTTGTCACAGTCTTTGCATTTGTAAGGCTTCTTTTCTGCATGAATTCTTTTTATGCATTGTAAGATTTGAACTCACATTAAAGGATTTGTTGCAGTCCTTACATGTGTAAGGCTTCTCTCCGGTATGAATTCTTTCATGTTTTATAAGACTTGACTTCATAATAAAGGATTTGTCACAGTCTTTACATTTGTAAGGCTTCTCTCCTGTGTGAATTCTCTGATGCACAGTGAGATATGAAGAAGTACTATAGAATTTTTTACATTTCCCACACTGGTATGGTTTCTTTCCAATGCAGATTGGTTGTTGAAAAAGACTATATGTAGTGTCAAGACGTTCATATTCTCCCTCCCTGTGCTTGCTCTTTGCAGTGTAGAGTCTGTGATGTTGAGTAATGCTTGAACACACATTTAAGGATTTCTCACTTTCTTTAGAATTGCAAGGTTCTTCTCCAGTGTGCATGCTTTCATGTCTCTCTGGGTTTGATGAGTCAACGGAGGCATCCCTGTAATTACTGCATCCGTAGTTATTAGAGTTTTCTACAGTTTCACTCGTTCTAAAAAGTGCACATGTAGAGGGGTCATGAAAAATATTTCCGAGCTCATTACACTGACAAGACTCCTTTTCAGTTTTCCCGAGTTGATGGACAGGATCACATATGAAATATTTCTCTGGAAAATGAATAAGGTCATATTAGTAGGGGGTTGTTCTAAGATGAAACATCTGATAAATGACTGTCTCTCTATGTTCTCTCCTGAAATAAGTCAACCAGCAACTACTTAGACATTTTTCTTATTCAGACTGACACTCTGCAGTTATTTGTGAATCATAACAGACATCTCATCCTTATTAAAATTGTCTAATGGCACAGGATGGATCAGGAAAATGAAGAATCAAAAATTAGCTTTGGGATTGAGATCACTGACTCATTAAATTTTTCATACATGTCTCTATGTTTAAATATTTCTCCTCAGAAATTGATTAACAGTTTAATACAATCCCAAGTTCACAGAACTCATTCTTATTAAGGGATAGACAATGAAAATTTGTGTTCAAAAGACTAAATTCCTCAAAAGATTAAAAGTCTTATTTAAGTGCATCATAGGGTTTATTTTTGTCTCTAGGAAAACACATTAGATTATTTACAAGTAATATTAGGAAGGACAGTATTCTGCTAAACACAGAGGCTGAGTTCATTTGAGACAGGTCTGTCAAAAGCAGCTATTTCTTATTTCTATTCTCCATTTTCTAAGATCCACATGGTACTATGTTTCTTAACTTTTCTCATATGGTTATTCTCAATTCTAATCTGTATACCAACTCTTGAGAGTTTATTCCAGAAGGATGTCTGTTTATCCTCTACTGGGAATAAAATATGGATTCAATATAAAGACAGACATCAAGGAAGACAATTAAAGAATAATCGTACTTCATATACCCATATTAAACTTATAATTTGTAAAATTATTGCAATCTGGTATCAAGAACATTAAATCAAATTGCATTTTGTACTAGTATTATGATCATAATTCAGGTGTTTTATTCTACTGTTGTAATAGTTAAAACAGACAGGATACATCCTGGGACTAGGAAGCTATTCTAAATTAAATGATCAAAAAATCCTTTTTAGGTGCAATGGAATATGGTAAAAAAATATTCTCAGCTCCTGCTTCATCTTTTACAAGAAGCCATCATTGTTGTCTTGCTCATATCCTAGGCCATTCCAGGGAATCTCATTTGCTCCTGAAGGAGACCATGCCTACTTTGCAAACATTAATCCATGTGTTCTGTGAAGTAGTCCATGACACATGCTGATGTTTTTAGAAAGGATATAGACATCTAACATAACACTACACTTAGTAGATGAAGAGAATATACAGTAGAGGAATGTAGGGATATTTTCCAGTTGCTATTTCCTGTCAGGATCTTCAGCAAATTTAGGGAATTTTAAATTTGCACATTGAGTTTTTCTAAGAATTTTACCATGTCAGGTACAACTATGGACATGAGGCTTTAATATATGCTACAAATATGACATGACACTAAGTTTCCAAATGCATTGTAAAATCAATATGAGGGATGCATGACAACTTTATTATGGAAAATGGAAAGAAAAATGCAAAGAAAACATTATTTTCTACTACCAAAATTTCCTATTCTCATGTTGCTCCTAAGGCAATTTTACAGTGAGTGAGGATACTACCAATAATGCCAATACATGCAAGTGACTAGTTAGAAATTCTACAAGGAAAATGTTCTTACCCACAGAGACCAGATTGTTGTAATTCTCCAGCATCACATCAATGTACAAAGCCCTCTGAGCAGAGTCCAGGCACTTCCATTCCTCTTGGGAAAAGTCCACATGCACATCCTTGAATGTCAATAGACCCTGAAATAAAAGACTTGTTTGACCATGTGCTACCAGACAGAGTGTGTTCCTGTATATAAGTAGACATGAGGAAATTAGGCATGTAAATAATGAAGACAGTTAATCAAACAGATGATTTTAATGTAGTCACATTGTATAATGGCTGGTCTAACTCTGTGAAAACAGTAACACAACAGACTCACAAGCAACATATACAAAACAACACACATTTAAGGTCTAGACATGGTTATCAATCTGTTATGGATGCTGTGTTTATGTCCCACAGGATCAGAGTGTACATGTCTCAGAAGAAATACTTATGGTAAGGAAATGTGCTTTAATTGCTGTACCTGTAGATGATGGTAAAAAATAGTGCCAATCTATCAATTCTGTGAATTCTTTGATCTTACATGATTCTGTTCTAACATGCTAAGTCCATATGCTGGAACTCTAGGTCCCATGCCATTCCACTGAGGAGCAAAGTGGTAGATATCAAAAGTATAATTCATGTTAGAGGTCTTAGGCAAATAATTTTCACATTCATTAACAATGAAGGAATGTAATAACACTGCGAACTGACAATTTTAACACTAACATATAAGAACAGGTAATCTACGGGATTAGTGTTATAGGTATTTTTGAGTCATTACCAACCAGATGGAAAAAGCCGTATCAATCATATTTAGAATAATCTAAAATTTAACTAACATAATAGGAATGTGGCAATTTAGGCAAAATAATACTTGCAGATATTTTGAAGAGTATTTCTTTTGTGTAGAGTTCTAAAAATCAAGGGAAGTCCTGTTACATGATATTTGTTTACACTGGGGGAACATGTGTCTACCTTTGCCATACCTGATTGGCTTAATAAAGAGATATATGACCAACAGGTATACAGGAGTTCCACAGAAAGCGAGGAACTCGGGAAGAAACTGGTGTAGAGAGAGACATCAGCAAGACACAGAACAAATTGGAAGCAAAGAAGAAAGGAAGGGGAAAAGCCACACAAGGGAACACAGATTAATAGAAACAGGTAAATTTGAGTTAGCAGATGTAGTTGGGAACGAGCCAAAGCTAAAGGCCAACGTTTCATAATTAATATTAAGTCTGTCATTATGGGAGCGCTGGCAGTCCCACAAAAGAAAGTCCAATGACAATGTCCAAAAATACATCAAATTATGTTTAATTTATAGGTAAAAATGTAAACTTAAGTGTAGTAACTGTGGTTGCATTCACAAATGACATAGATTACCTGTCAGTAACAGAATGTATTAAATTCTGTGAGAAATAGCATCACTTTTCAGTGTTTTACAAATGTAATAGAGCTCAGAGTAAATTTGAGCTTTTTCCACTTTTGAATTTTGTAGTTTTCTATGTGTTTCCTTCTAGTACTTATTCCATATCGTCTAACAGGTTTTAGGCTAGTAGTGCTTAATATTCTTCCTTTATTTCTCTGGACATGCATAGTGGTGACATATTCTGTCTGAGCCATGAGGCAGGAATAAATGCAAACATGAAGGTCAGAGCCCATTCCCCAAATCTCCACTTAAAAGCACTTCAGCATCAGGGTAGGGACATCAACCCATCATCTCACAGGAAACTGAATAGAGTTAAGCAGTCACAAGAAATATTCTCTCTTCATCAAATACAACGTATTATGCACAGCAATCAGTCAAAACCCCAAGAAATTATTCCAGATGCATTTCACATAATTATTCCAGATGATTCCAAGCTAGAAAGGACTGCACAGTGGGATCCTGATAGGGGTTGAAAGGAAAATAAAAGTTAAAAATACTGTTCAGGATCCCTAAATTCCATCATGGAAACACTCAGGAAAATTACTTTGAAATACTGCCTCCCCCCAGGCAGAGAACAGATGTCATCAGCAACCTAAAAGCAATTGTGAAACAGGACAAGAAGAGAAAGGAAGCCTTATTCACTGTTGAAGGAGGAGGATGTAAAGTAATACAGTCATTGTGGAAAGCAATCTGAAATTTATTCAAAGAATTTAATGGAGAATTAACACATAAACCAGTTGTTTCACTTCTCAAATGTAACCAGAAAACTCCATATTCTAATATAGAGATATTTATACACCATGTGCACTGCTATTGAAATTACAATAGCAAAGTATTAGAAGCATCCTAACTATCTATCAACAGATGAATGGATAATGAAAATGACATACATATAAAATGGAATACTATTCAGCTGAAGAGAAAATTGCAACAAAAATAACAGGAAAATTGTTGGACTTAGAATGTGTAAAATTTAGTGAGACCACACAGTGTCAAAAAAAAAAATCCACACATTTTCCCTCATATGCAGAAACTGGTCATATGTGCGTATGAAAAACAATATACATGTGGGAACAGCAGATTATGGAGAGATGACACAAGAAATATTGAATATCAGGGTTGAGTTAGAACTGAATACAGGTAATGACACCACTTGAAAAAAGGATGTAAATCTAAGAGCTTTTCTAGCTCTAATTATACTGCATTTATTTTTTTTCTGATGGATACATTCATAAAAATCTATTCAATAACAAAAATGTAAAATCGCTTTTGTATGATTCCAGTGTACCTGTTCCCAATGACTACTCTAATTTCATAAAAGTATATTGATTTGAACAGTATTTGGGTCTGGTTAATTTCAGTGTGTGTCTGTTTGTTTGTTTGTTTGTAACAATTCTCCTAATAAAACTTAAAATATTATCAATAGCAGAAAGTTAAATGCTTGTGATATCTGAACATAATGACATTTCTAGAAAAGTGGACATGAACACTGACCTGGGATATGCTTACTAGAGAACCAGCCATTTCTTTCTGTGTGTCTTCCTTAAGTTTCTCTTTCAGGAACAATGACTTGATAGATGGCTTGCTGTCCTTTCTTTTAAGATCAATGCAAAAGAAGGAAAACAAATTAATACTGAAAACTGTTAAAGAACATTGACAAGCCACATAAAAAGATTCAAGCAACAGCCCATGACCAGGTATACAGACAATTCCAAATCCAGGAGAGCTTGGATTGACATTTAAAGCTTGAAGAGAAAATCAGTATCAACTATATTATTATATCCAGGAAAAGTCTATCTTAAAATTGATGGAGACATAAAGACATTACAAGATAGTCTCAAATTAACATAACTGATTTCACTAATGCACCATTTCAGACAATATTTAGAGACAAAATTTATACAGGAGAATCAACAGGAAATAATAAATTTCATGTGAAGAATACTCAATCCCAGAGAACTGGGAAGTAATCATCCACGGGCAAGACAGAAAATTACTAATTCTCACACAGAAGGAAGAAAACCCCTACCAATAATCCACCTAGCAACAACATCAAAAAGAAGGGTATAATGAATGAAAATGCTATGACCCAAAATCTAGCCACTCTGGAGATCAATATGGAGAACACTCAAATAAATATAACCTCAAGTTAAATAATTTCAGTGTGTTGATCCAGCTGTTCCATTCCTTGTCATAGTCTCAAAGGACTCAACATCCTTCTCCACAGATGCTTAGATGCTTATTCACCCATATTAATTGCTGCTGTATTCACAACAGCTACAAACTGGAAACCACCTACATGTTCCTGAACTGGATAAATGTATAGTGAAATTGTGGTACACATACAAAATACTATTCAGCTGTAAGGAAAAATTAAAATCATTAAAACCATTTTGCAGCTAAATGGATGGACCCAGAAAAGATCATTTTGAGTGAGGTAACCCAGACCCAAAAAGATAGACATTGCATGTTCTCTCTAGTAAGAAGTTCCTAGCTCCAAATCTTCAGATGTGATTACACAACCTTAAATAACTGGAGTAAGCCAGACAAGTAAAAGGAGACCCCTGTGGGATGTGGTGGAGTAAAATACAGAAGGAAAGGAGGGAACAACGATTTTTAAAATGTGGGAACTGGAATACAGGTGTGTGTGTGTGTGTGTACGTGCGCGTGCGCGTGCGTGTGTGTGTGTGTATCTGTGTATTATTATTATGTAGGGCAGATATAAACATAGAAGAGTAAAATAGCAGTAAGGATGTTTGAAAAAGTCATAAGGAATCTTAGTATTATCTACCAAAAATACCTACAATACATGTAAGTCTCTGTAAGCATGTACAACTAGAGTATAAATGATAATTTCCCTCCTCAGCTGATGATACTCCTCACATAAGCCATAGATTTTTCTACCAAACCACCCAGAGCAACCTGCTTTGAAGTTGTTGGTCACAGCTGTCCTTGAGATTCCCAAAACAGTACAGGCAACTGGAGTTGTCCATGTTTGCCTTCTAGAGGAGGAAGGTGAGTCCCTGTTGCTGAAGTCCCACATTCTTCAGTCACAGCCAGAGGACTTGAGATGGACCAGAATTTAAAGCCTACTCCCTAGGAACTAGCTTTCATGGTATCAGCAGGCAACATAAGGAGGGAGCCAATAGTCCTACCTAGCTATGACAATTATGAACCACAACAACGATCTACACAGTATGATAACTGGAAGGGTACAAGATGGGCACACACACACATTGGTTATGGAACGGACAGCTTCTCGTTGGACTTCAAGCATTCTCAGCGAGAGGGGGTTCATGCCTGGTACTGGCAACCAAGCTAGCTTCTGGGGGATAGTAAAGGATGGATCTTGCAAGAGAGCTTAAAACAACTGTACATGACTTATGTGCATATTAACATAAAATTTATTTGCCTCCTAGAGTCAATTCTTATGTAGAAAGACTTCTCAGCACTATAGCAGGGTAATTCTGAGATCCTTGTCAGCTGATGTCTCTAGAATTATTTCTAGTGTAACATCCTGTGGCAAAACTGAATTCTTGCTCACCAGCCCATTAGCTATTGTCTACTCCCTCTCCACTTCCCAAGGTTCTTTGGGCCTATGGGTGAGCAGTTGTGGATGATCAGTTACCTTGCACATGAGCAAGAGACCATTCAGAAAGCACGTAGATTGCTAACTCAGTACTGCACTCAGGAGATAAAGATACAGGATTCTACAAGTGACTCTCCATTGTCCTGTAGAGTTATAATACTGAAAATACCTAGAAAGCATTTTCAGTGAGTGTAACTTGAGAGCCATTTCCAGTCACTTCTCAGTAAAATCACAGGAGAAACAAAACGTAATGATTGGAACCACAAAATCGTACAAAAAAATATATTAGTGGATTTATCATGAACCAAATCTGATGAAAGTCTTAAATCTGCCAAAGGGAAACACACTTGCTATCGAAAACTTTAGAAGAACAGCTTCTAAAATTTTTGCTCAGGGTTCAAAAAAAAAAAAAAAAAAAGGAACTAAAAATAATCAAAGGAACTAAAATCTGAGGGGAAAAGGATTCAACTCACACAAAGTTGCTCCTCTGCATGTTCTTTATTCTTTTTCTTTTGCGTCTCTTTTTCTCTTTCTGTTCTTTTTCTGTGTTTCTTTATTTTCTGTCTCTCTATTTCTTTGTTTCTCCCCAGTTCTTGGGGATACAGGTATACATACATACATACATACACACACACACACACACACACACACACACACACACACACACACACCAGTAATTCTTTTTACAATACAATGTGAGACTTGAGTTTCTCAGGCTCAGCAAGGCAGGTAAGATTTACACAAGAGAGATAAACTAAAATTGCCAAGAGAAACTTTTAACATCAATTGCTCAAGGCTGTGGGTCAAAGAGGGGGGGGGTCTAAGTTTATTTTGCCCAAGAAAGAAACTGGTGCCTTCTAGTGCTCTGGTTTCACTTGTAGCACAGGCCTTCAGGAAAGTTTACTTTTCCCTGAGAATGAGCAAATGCACTGATTACCTTTATCGTTATTTCTCAGATGAAACGGGAGGGAGCAGTTAATCTCTGTTCTAAAATCTTGAGTTATTAAACAAGAAGTTTGAGAATCTTTTAGTGCAGGGTTAGTTTGGATTTTCACCTCTCTATCTTCCAGTGAGGTGAACAAGGGCATGCTTATTTTTTCTATACATCTGGCAACTATGAATCAACAGCTCTGGGTGTGTAGTAATTCTATGTCCTTGGGTATCTGGGAATGTCTTAGATGTGATACTTTTGCCTGAGCCTTACACACTGACCAAATTTCTGTCAATAAAGGTTATTGCAGGAAGCTAGAATTCTGCAATTACAATGGAGAGCGGAATAAGGACCTGATAGTGGGAGACAGGTCTAAGAGATTTAATCAGTAAACTAGGACCTGTTAATGGAGAACAGGTTTTACACATAGTTAGGGAGTGTAATCAGTAAAACTCCAAATGCACGGGAGAAACTAGTTCCCAGTAAATGATCAGATTGTGGGAAGTAAATCCCAAGTTTGTTACAGAAAGGGATAAGCTCTAGGAAGAACCTACAGCGACAAACAGCCAATTTATTCACAAGTTTATAAGGCTATGTACAGATTTTATGCTATTACATCTAACAGAAGAATCCTTAATTCATCTGAGTAATCTCCTGAAAGTATAGCTGTATAATTACTATGTGATCTTACAGAGTATTTTTCCAAGAAACACTGAGCAGGAGCAAGAAAGGCTGTAAGCAAGCTATTTTCACCCACAGAAAGCAAACTGCTGCAACTCTGTAGCATCCATACTCAGTACAGAGCCCTCTGAGCAGGCTGCAGGCATTGAACCTCCTCCTGTGAGAAGTCCAGTCACACCACAGGACATTAACAGACCACAAAATAAAACACAGCACATTATGGAGGCAGAATTCTAAATAGTCTTAATAAACACAGAATCAGATATCAGTGTAAATGGTCAAAAATAAGAGAAGTAAATGAGCCAACCACTAGTGAGACTTCTTACCTCTACTGAATGCTCAGACCAAAAGGGTGAGATCCAGTTTCTAAGAGTCCTCAGAATGAATGGACTGAGCTGGTGTCTGCTTTTACCTCCTATGCCTCCCACCCAGCCACATCACTTTAGGTCTCCACCATCCTAGTGCTGAGATTAAAGGTATGTGATTCCCAAATACTGGTATTTAAGGTGTGAGCTCTATTTTTTTTTTTTTTTTTTTTTGAGAATGGTTAAATCTCTGGTAGTGTTTGGTGGCCTTGAACTGCTGTCTGTTTGAATTGCTGGGATTAAAGGTGTGGACCTCCACAGCCCGGCCTCTATGGCTTACCTAAGGGCTAGGTAAACTCTGATTTTCAGGCAAACATTGTTAGAGCATAAATAAAATATCACCACAAGCTTCAGCAGTTGTTTTGATGAACGCATTTAATACTACAACTTGGGAGACTCAGGTGGGTGGGACTCTGTGAGGACCAGTACAGCCTCCTAGGCATGGTGAGTCCTGAGCAAGGCAGAGCAACACCTTGAATTCAGGTCTCAAACACAACAAACAAAGGAACCTAAATTAACAGTGTGGTCATGTGTCCATAAACAGAGTGCTTATTTTGGACCAAGGAGATGAAAGAGTCTTGTAGAGATTTTTCTGATGTAGATAAGTTATGGCAATTATTCAAAATTCCTTCTAATTTTATCCTGTATTATGACACCTCCCCTGTTTTTCTTCATGCCCACCTCCTGGGGGACATAGTTTCTCTGTTTAATCTCAGATATCCACAAACTCCCTGTGTAGACCAGCTTGGCAAGCCTGCCTCTTCCCACATGCTGGGGTTAAAAGCTAGTGTCAATACCATCTGTTTCATAATACCTTTTTCTAACTGTGATCTGATACCATGAAGCAAGATACTGTGCTATTCTAGGTACTAGGGTGCAATATTAAGAAGTCAGCATGAGAAGACACAATTCTTTTTTTATTCCTTCCCTTATTTTCCTGACATAAGATCTCACCATG